ATTCCAGGGTGTGTCCTCTGCTGCTGCCTGTACACAGCTCTGTGGGTTTTTTTTTTCCTAGCCTGGCCTCTAACTCTTTCTAGGTCCTGCCTCATCATCCTGAGTATGGAGTTTGCAGGGTTTGTCCATAGTCTCCTGTTTAATCTTTCCAGCAAACCCAAAAAGCTGGATTTGTCTGCTACACTTCTATGTGAAAACTGAGATCCTGAGAGACTTTGTTTTCACCCGGAATTCTCTGCAAAGCTGGGGATGACCTTGAACTTCTGATCCAACTGCTTCCACTTTCCAAGTGTGGGTGTTACATGCATAAACCATCATCTCTGGCCAGAGACATTTAAAAAACACACACACACAGAGGCAACAAGAGGCCAAGTTGTCATCCTGGGTCTCAAATCCACCCTTTCTGACTCTGGATCCCGGATCCAAGGAGTCTAAATCACTGAGAAACATGCACCCTTTAAGCTGCAGGCCACCCTTTTGGTGGCTGGTGTGACCATGTTTCTTTCTCTGCCCTGCCTGTGTTGGGTGGGTGGTCCAAAGATCCAAAGGATAACAATGGGCTGGGAATGAGGAAGAAAACTGAACAGAAGCATTAGGTCTCCTGGGCTAGTAATTTGAAGAAACTATCCCTAGTTCTGTTGGATAGGAGAGAGCAAGGAATATAGGCAGTGACATTTTCAGCCACCAGGTGGCAGTACAGAGACAACTTTCACAGGGTGCCTAGGCGTGGGAATAATAGGGCACAGAACATCCCCCAGCCCCAGCCCTCTTAAGACAAGAGTCTCATTGAGTAGCTCTGGCTGGTCTGGAACTCCCCATGTAGACAAGGCTGGGGTCAAAACTCACAGAGACCTGCCTGCTACTGCCTCTGTGCCAGGATTAAAGATGTGGGCCACCATACCCTTCCTCAACCTGAATTTTTGAGACAAGGTCTTTTACTAAGCCTGAGGCTTGATGCTTTAGGTAGACTAGCTGGCTACCCTGGGGTCCACTTAGCTTTGTCCCCCTGCCCCAGCTTTGGGGTTACAAGCACACCACATAGCTTTTACGTAGGTGCTAAGGATCCAAACTTTGTTCCTCTTACTTGAACAACAAGCACTTTACCCATTGAGTTATCGTCCCTGCTCTGTTACTATTGTTATTATTAATTTAAAAACTAGGGGCTCATAAACTGGGTGTGATAACGGACGCCTTTAATCCCAGCACTTGGGAGGCAGAGGCAGGCGGATTTCTGAGTTCGAGGCCAGCCTGGTCTACAGAGTGAGTTCCAGAACAGCCAGGGCTACACAGAGAAACCCTATCTTGAAAAACCAAACCAAAAAAAAGAAAGAAAGAAAGAAAGAAAGAAAGAAAGAAAGAAAGAAAGGAAGGAAGGAAAGAAAGAAGGAAGAAAGAAAGAAAACAAGGGTGGTGGTTTACTCTGTTAGTCCCAGCACTAGGGAGGCAGAGGCAAATGTATCTCCGTGTCCGAGGCCAAACTATTCTACAGAGACTAGGACAGTCAGGGCTACAACAGAGAAACCCTGTCTTGAACAACCAAAACAAAAAACAAAAACAAAAAAACAAAAAACCTTCCCTCCAAACAAACAAACAAACAAACAATTAAGGATTCAATTCCTAGCACCCACATGTTGGCTCACAATCATCTCAACTCCAGTTTCAGGAGATCTGATGTCTACTTCTGGCCTCCTCAGGTACAAGACACATATGAAGTACACGGACATGTATCCTGGCAAAATATCCATACACATAAAAAAAAAAGTTTCACTGTGTAGCTCACGCTAGCTGAAAATTCACTCGATAGCCCTCCTTGCCTTAAGCTCACAGTCATCCTCCTGCTTCAGCTCATCAAATGCCAAGTTTATAAGCATGAACCACACGCTCGGAAAGTGTTTTATTTCTATTTCTATTTTTAAAAACACAATTACGGTTGGACATGGTAGTGGATGCTTTTAATTCCAGCAATTAAAGAGGCAGAAGCAGGCAGATCTCTGTTAATTTGAGGCCAGTGTGGTCTACAGAATGAGTTCCAGAGAAGCCAGAGCTACATAGTGAGAGCCTGTCTCCAAATAAATAAGCACACAAATAAATAATAAAAGCAACCATGGGGCTGGAGTGATGACTCAGCAGTTACGGACACTTATTTCTATTATAGAAGATACTGGTTAAGCTCCTAGCACCAACATGGTGGCTCACAGCCATCTGCAACTCCAATTCGAGGGGATCCCATGCCTTCCTTTGACCTCCAAGGGTACCAGGCTCACACGAGATACACATACTTATGTGCAGACAAAACACTCATACACATATAAACAACTCATTTACGAGAAGAAGAAAAGGAGGAGGAAGAGGAGAAGGGGGAAGAAGAGAAGGAGGAAAAGGAGGAAAAAGAGGAAGAGGAGAAGGGGGAAAAAGAAGGAGGAAGAGGAGGAAGAAAAGAAGGAAGAGGAGGAAGAGAAGAGTACAGAGCCACCCAGCATTGACAGCACAAAATCTGAAGACCCTGGCTCATTTCTATAGACTTCATGTAGAAAATGGGAGGTAGAGTCTTGGTTTCTTTCTTTATAAAGCTTATCATTGATATTTCCCCAAGTGAGATGTCCCTATATTCACCCTAGTGGCTGCTCTTTGATATAGGTGGGACAAGAGAGCAGGGGCTTACTTTAGCTATACTGTGCAGAGAACACCCTCAGGAGAGGGGACACAGAAGCAAGGGCTTGGACAATAAGCGTGAGTCAAACATAACCATTTCAAAAGCTTTGAGGGGGACTTCTTGGTATGAAGGAATTGAAAATGGGTTCCCTGCGGGGAAGAACTGAGGGAGCCAGAGGGGTCAAGGACACCACAAAAAGATCTACCTCACCTGGGCCCACGGGGGCTCACAGAAACTGAACCACCAACCAAAAAGCGTGCATGGGCTAGACTTGGGCCCCCTACACATATGTAGCAGTTGTGCAGCGTGCTCTTCATGTGGGCTCCCTAACAATTGGTGCTGGGCTGGGCTGTCTCTAACTCTGTTGCCCACCTTTGGGTTCCTTTTCCCTGGCTAGGCCACCTTGTCTGGCCTCAGTGGGAGAGGATGCACTTAGTCCTGGCGGGACTTGATGTGCCAGGGAAGGTTGGCACCCATGGGATACCAATTTCTCTAAGGAGAAGGGAAGGGGGAGGGGAAGAGGAGGGGCTCTGAGGGTGGAACTGGGAGTAGAGGGGGAAGGGGACTCTGATCAGGGTATAAAGTGAATAAATAAATAAATAAAAAGATAACAAAGAAATTAAGAAAAAAGAAAGAAAGTAGGTTTACATATCGTTGAGCCACTGAAGACAGGACAGGGAAGGAGATGAAGCAAAGAGCTCAGAGACACTAGTAAACCGCAGACTCACTGCGTCTCTGGTCCATGATACAGCTACCTGAGCAGCTTTTGTTTTGTTTTGTTTTGTTTTTGTTTTTCGAGACAGGGTTTCTCTGGGTAGCCCTGGCTGTCCTGGAACTCACTCTGTAGACCAGGTTGGCCTCAAACTAAGAAATCTGCCTGCCTCTGCCTCTCAAGTGCTGGGATTAAAGGCGTGTGCCACCACTGCCCGGCATACCTGAGGATCTCTACCTTTGGATCACTGATCCTGCCTGGTATGTGTTCCCTGCATTCACCGATTAGTAATGAAATCCTATCCATCTTTCTTTCTTTTTTTTTTTCTTTTCTCTTCTTTTGGTGTTCTGAGACAGAATTTCTCTGTGTAGCCCTGACTGTCCTGGAACTTGCTCTGTAGACCAGGGCTAAGAAGAGATCTGCCTGCCTCCACCCCCTCTGTGCTACGGAGCCCAGCAAAATTCTACTCATCTTGCAAGGGTTAGTTCAAACCATTTACAAACCTCTTCTCATTCTTCAGCAGGAATTAATCACTCCTGTGACATCCCAGCACATGTCACAACTCAAATCACATGACTTGGATGTCAGCTGGCTGTTTACATGCCAGCCTGCGCACCGTGCACCAGCATGGTGAGTTCCTGGAGGGCAGAAGCTCTGTCTGTCTTAGTCACCTCTGGAACCATCTCCAGGTACCTAGATGAATGGCCCAAAGCAGGTGCTCAATGTGACATTTAGCACTAGTGGGTGGGGCCCAGCACTTAAGGCAGAACATAGGGAAAACAAAAATAATGACAGCCCATGGCTTATCACATGCTTTCCCACTCATTACCTGATGAGCCTTCAAGGGCTCTGAGATAGAAAGGACAAACACTACGAGGTAGCTGAGACCCAAAAGCACACAGTAAGTGGGGATTAAGCGCCAATGCTGTTCTTTTACTTGAGGTTCAGCCCTGGTCACTGGGTTGACTTGAGCAGTGAGACATAGGAAAGCAATGGGGTTGCTTGGAGTGGTGGTGAGCTTTGTGTACGAAGATCCTTAGTCATCCGCAACAGAGTTAAGCAATGGAAACCAGCAAAGGGCAAGGACTCCTCTCTCATCCAAGAACCTAGAGGAGTTCACAACACCATGCTTGGTGAGTTGGGGATCCTTGGGTTTGGTGGTTACAATGACCTAACCAATGACTTGCTAGCAGAAACCGCCTCTCTATTGCTATGACAACCGGAGCTTGTCTATTGGGCCTCTGCAAGGGTGCTCTAGCCATATTGGGGCTTATGGTGTGTGTGTGTGTGTGTGTGTGTGTGTGTGTGTGTGTGTACGCGCGCGCGTATGCATAAACAAGAAAAACATTTTGAGAGTGGTTCTCTACATGCGCAAGGTCTATATGCTCATGTCGCATCTGACCAATTAAATAAGCATCTCGTGGACTGAACCCTGGCATCACTAGTTAAGGAAAGCCTCGCAGGCGGCCTCAGTTGCAGTCCAAGATGCAAACCCGGCTTTTAACGCTGGAGCTCGTCTCGCGACCTTCTCAAGACGGTGGCGCTCCGCCCCCACGGGCGCCGGTAGAGGGCAGGCTTCCCAGGGCGCATGCGTCCCGCGGCTCTCGGCTCTCGGCTTCCCTCCTCCTTTTTCCCCCGCCTCCATTTTGTTCGCGGACGCTGGGGACGGTGGGAGCGGATCCATTTCCGGGTTGGTAAAAGGGGCGGCGGCGAGAAAGAGAGCTTGCGGCGGGGCGAACGGGCTGGACTAAACCAGGACCGAGGTGACGGAGGATTCGCTCCCGGAGCAGCCCCCGCCAGGTGGGCAAGACGCCGAGGCGGCTGAGCCCGCCACTGAGGTGACCTGCGGACCTGAGTGGGAGGGAGAGCCGGGTAGGGGGGCTGTGGGGGGGAGGGGACACCGGAGGAGGGGCCTGAGGCGGAGAGGGGGGCTGGGGGCGGGGCCTGGAGACCCTGGAGAGGGGGCGTGGGCCACCCGAGTGCAGGAGGCCGGAGGAGTGCGGCGGGGACAGACCGAGCAAATGGGCAGGATGGAGGTTTTTGAGAGACAGGAAATTAGAGATCCTGAAGGGTTGGGTGAGGTGAGTAAGACGGCAACTCCGGGTGAGGAAGCAGGGGAGCCGTGCGCGGAGGGGGAGATGGGGCAGGGAGGACCTGTTGGGAAAGGTAATTATTGGTAGGATGCTCTTGAGTTGAGGAGGATGGTGTGACATTTCGGGATTGATTTGGGTGAAAAAGGATGATTGGGAGCGAAGCTGTTTGCCTTGGAGATGTTGGGTGAGAGGGAGTCGGAGAGATGTCTGAGATGCGCTTGGAAGCACCTGGAGTTGAAGGTTCCTGTTGGAGCGGCGTGAAATGAGGGAAGATGAAAATCTGAAGGCGCTAAACGTAGGCTGGGTGTGCGGTTGAGTTACTGATGAGGAATGATTGGGAAGGTATATTCTGGAAGGATAATATTGAATTGAGGAGCTAGAGGAAGCTGGTGTGCACTGGAATCTACCCCTGCCCCCCCCCCCTTCTGCTGGCGTTTAAATCCTGATCCACCTGCATGGTGGACAAGGACTGTACCTCTAAGCAACATCTGATCCCTGAAATTCTTTCTTTCTTCTTTTTTTTTTTTGAGACTGTTTCTCTCTAACCCTCGATGTCTTGGAACTCAGTCTGTAGGCCAGGTTGGCCCCGAACTCACAGAGATCTGCCTACCTCTACCTCTGGAGCACTGGGAGGTGTGGGCCACCACCACTGCTCAACATGCGTATTTTTGTTTGTTTGTTGTTTTGTTTTCATTCTTTCAAGACACGGTTTCTCTCTGTAACAGCCCTGGCTGTTCTGGTGCTCACTACGTAGATCAGGCTGGTCTTGAACTCACAGAGATCTGCCTGCCTCTGTCTCTTGAGTGCTGGGATTAAAGGTGTATGCCACTACCACCCAGCTATCTTAATATATATTTTTTAAAGATTTATTTATTTTATGTATATGAGTATACTGCCACTCTCTTCAGACACGCCAGAAGAGGGCATCAGATCCCATTATAGATGGTTGTGAGTCACCATGTGGTTGCTGGGAATTGAACTCAGGACCTCCAGAAGAGCAGCCAGCGTTCTTAACCAGAGTCATCTCTCCAGCCCACTATCTTAATTTTTTTTTTTTTTTTTTTTGGTTTTTCGAGACAGGGTTTCTCTGTGTAGCCCTGGCTGTCCTGGAACTCACTCTGTAGACCAGGCTGGCCTCGAACTCAGAAATCCGCCTGCCTCTGCCTCCCGAGTGCTGGGATTAAAGGCGTGCGCCACCACCGCCCGGCCCTTAATATTTTTAATAGTCAAAATTTTTATGTTACTGTGTTGTTATCACCAAGAGGAAGTAGTGAACTTTAGAGTCTGAAATGAATGAATTCGACTCTTAGTGACTTGGAGAACACATGGCCTTATTTTCTGACTACCTGGGTATTGTAGATAGTTGAGCCATATGCCTTGGGTCAGTCAGTGAAGGTGTGTGGCCTCGCTGTCGCTGGTTGGGGCCATGCTGTAGACAGGATTGGATGCTTTCCTGTCAATCCTTTGAAATTCTGTTTTAGCTTTTTCTTTGGGTATAATACTCTAAACACTTGGCTGGTAAGAGAACATGTTTAGCTTAGAAGTGTTTCTGAAAGTCGTGGCATTTCTGAGGTCTGATGTGGATTGGCCAGAGACTGGGCAGTTTTCTTTCTTGATATCAGAAATGGTATTTACACTAGTTGGTGCTGATTACTTATGTGGACACAAAGGTAAGATTAAGGGGTGGGGAAGGATATTGGGAATAGAATAGTTGTCTTCCCCCCCTCCCCACAACCAGGGTTTCCCTGTGTAGCCATGGATGTCTTGAAACTCACTCTGTAGACCAGGCTGGCCTTGAATTTATAGAGACCCACCTGCCTCTGCCTCCACCTCCTAAGTGCCACCACTGTCTGGGCAGAATAGCTTTTAAGTTTTACTTGGGACTTTGAGAAAAAGGAATCCTGGTCTGTTGAAGGGAATATCATCACATGCTCTTGCTTGACTGCAGCCTCCTGATCTGCTCCCCTGCATACTTGAGTGTGTTTTTCCTGTTGCCCTTAAGTAGTTCTGAAGTTCACAGGCTGTTTGGGCTGTTCTAACAAACCCTAGTTTTCATACTGACTCAGGAAGAGCTGCAGACAGCGAAGTGAATGTGCATATTTAGAGACAAAAACTTGTATAATGTCGTGCTACAGGGTTTCTCTGTGTAGCCCTGGCTGTCCTGGAACTTGTTCTGTTGACTAGGTTGGTCTTAAACTCAGAGATCCTCCTGCCTCTGCCTCCAGAGTGCTGGGATTAAAGGTGTGCGCCACCACCGCCCGGCTTTTGTGGTTTATTTTTAAGGGTTTTGCTCTAAGTTGTAGGGACTAAGAGCTCTTGCAATGGCCCGTTCCTTCAGCACAGACTTTCAGTCTTTCTTGTCACATTTTCCCACTGCTCTGCTCCACTAGTCCTAGTGGAAAGTGGCAGGTCACCCCTCCTCCTCTGGTGGGCATCTTGTCCGGGTCACAGCTTGATACCACCAAAATGAAAGGATTCTTGACTGCCTCTAATGGGGACAGTGACAGAAGCTGAGCTGGGTTTCTTGAGCCAGAGAATGGATTCTGTCAAAGCAAAGAATAGTTGCAGAGACACAAACTGGGACCTTGAAGCTGTGACTAACATTTTGGCAACATGAATCCCTCTGCCAAATAACTTCTTTTGTTTAGGAGTGTGATTGTTGATCTCTTTCTCAAAGTAAGCTCCTGTTAACTATTCTTCACACAGCTCCCAAGCAGAAGCTGGCGGAATTCTGGCTGATTGACCACCTCTTGGGGAATATGCCCTGGATTAGAGTGGATGGGGCAGTCCATGTTGAAATGGAGGCCACTGGTAGATTGCAAGGGCTGCTCTGCAAGGAACTAGAGGCAGAACTCTTCTCTGAATGTTTGGCAATCCTTTTCTTCTAACTTCAAGTCTCTTTCTTATTCATCTGGTGATCGAATGCAGAATCATTCCACTTGCCTGTCTTTGCAAGATCAGAACATAAGGAAGACAGTGTTTCAAGCTTCCCTATGTTCTCACTCCTGAGCCTTTTGAGCCAGCAGAGCCGTACAAGCTGAAGTTAGGAGCATTTCAGCAGGTCTGTGTTCCCTACGTTCTCTCAGTGTTTGGGGGTAAAATCACATCGAGCTTCATGTGCGCTAGGCAAGTGCTCTGCCACTGAAGTACACCTCCAGCCCCAGGAAATGTTTGCTGCCATTGTCTGTGACAAGATACTGAGAAATGCTAAGTAGAAGCCAGGTGTCGAGGTTCATGCTGGCAGTCCCCACACTTGGGATGCTGAGGATGCTGGCAGGTTCATAGCCAGTCAGGGCTACAGAGTGAGAGCCCGGCTTAAAACCCAAAGGGGGAATCTAAAGAATTTAAAGGTGTTAGAAAAAACTGCTGATAGGCGATTTAATATCTAAGTCAGTGTTAACTAACTTTTGGCTTTGCATGCAGAGATTCTTTGGAGGCATAGAGCACTCAGATTGCTGAGCTAGCAAGCGTCCTACCTGGCTTTTTAGGCTATTCAGTTGTGTTCTACATAGTAAACCTTTTGTTTTTCAGGAGCTAAGTAGTTGAAGATAACATTATCTGTACTGGATCTTGGGGTGAATTATGATGATGTTTTCTTGACTATATGGCAATAGCTCCAGTAGCACCAGAGATAACCCCAAATGAATCCTCTTTTGTCTTTGAATCCAGACTTTATTATTTCTCATCATTAGTGTATTTTTAAAAATAGTATATATTATTATTGTATATATGCATTGTGTGTGTCTGTGTGTGTGTGTGTGTGTGTGTGTGAGAGAGAGAGAGAGAGAGAGAGAGAGAGAGAAAGAGAGAGAGAGAGAAGAAGGGAGGAAGGGGACAGGAGTATATGCTGTGGCACATGCATGTTGGTCAGAGGACTACTGCTGGAATCTCCCCTCTGCCTTTATGTTCTGGGGATTGAAGTGAGGTTGCCAAGGCTTACCTAGCACGTGCCATTTACCTATGGAGCCATCCCACAGCTGTAGAATAGTCTAGTTTTAATACTCCGATTGAAAAACCTGGAAGGGTGGCTAATGATGTGACTCAGTGGAAGAGCACTTGTCTACCCCAGAGGTAGGGTGGGTCCCCGTCACCCCTCTCCCAAGGTGGGGAGAAAAAGCCAGTAGATTTAGAGGTGGAGATTTTGTCTCTGGTCCAGAGTTTTGATTTTTTAAATTGTGGCAACAGCATGAGTTATGCTTATGTTCCAGATCTTTCTTTTCTGAAAAGTGGTATACGTGGTAGATTACATCCCCTTACTTATGATTAAAACAGTGTGTGTGTGTGTGTGTGTGTGAGATTGCGTGTGTGTACGTGTGAGTGAGTGAGTCAGAGATGCTAGAGTATGGGTGTGGATACTACTGCACAGCTGGAGGAGAGGACAAGTGTATAGAGTCAGTTTTCTCCTATCTACATTTATGTGGGCTCCACGGATCAGCTCTGGTCATCAGGTTTGCATTGCTGAGGGCAGCATTGTTTAGCCGCCTCACTGGCCCCGCCTTACGAATTTTGAGACATGGCCTTACTCTGTAGCACGTTACTGGTCCCAAGTTCCTAACACTATCAGATGTGGGTCACAACTGCCTATAACTCCAAATCCAGGGGATCCAACATTGCCCTCTTCTGGATGCTGGGGGCACCCACATGTGTGATCTGCACTTGTAGACACGCGCGCGTGCACACACACACACACCACTTTTAAAAGAGAAATAAAGATGAATTGTTTTTTGGAGATTTTATATGTTAGG